AATATTTCCGTTTCACCCTACGGCTTCAAGTGCTCTCACAACTGTTTGTGTCCAAAGAAGCAGTTCTCTCGATTAACTGTAATTTACATAACTGCCTTATCATCATGACCACACAAGCGTGCCCCGCATCGTTGTGAATAAATACTTTAAAGTTATTTTTCCAAAATATGTAGGCTCTGCCCACGTTTGATAATTATAAGTCGGCAGCCATGCTTTATTTGACTGAATCCTGAAATAGGAAATTAAGAGGTACAATGTGTAAGGTAAGTCAAATTAGCCGCGGTAGCTAGTAAAGCGTACGCCGCAACGAATGCCAGTGGTGCAATAGTTGAGAACGGTGGTTTACAGTTTCGGGAATACGTAGCTTACGAGCAAACTACGTCAGGATTTAATGGTGTGTTAGGAATACAACTAGTACAAGCAGCGAGCGACCGGCGTAGAAGAAAATTGATACATAAACCAAAGGTTGATGCATGGCAGTAAGGGAACACCAGGACTGCCTTGATCATATAGGTTTAACAGGTAAACTTACAATCTACGCGTACTGGGAAATGAGTAAGGGCCATTGACCGAAAACTTCCTCGCAGTTTGTATCTAATGGTCAGTTCCCCGATACAGTTAGTAGCATCGTGCAGACCGCATCATACAAGTGACTCACCTCTGAATAAACTTTCAGCTGTTTGCAGTCAGAAATGTGTCAACTACAACAGGAGCAATGAGGCGTCCTGATGTGTCAGCTGAGAAACTTGTGGAAGTAACGTGGCATAAACCTTTAATCATGCGACATGATCGTAGGGTACACGCGAATCGGTCCGCCGGAATTGCATCATTATTAAACGCATGTCAATATGCACGCTGGATGGTTGTTTCATTACGAACAACTAGTGTTTTTGTGTTTTAGATTGTGTCGTTCTCGCAGCCATCGTCGGCCCAAGTACTTACAGGCATATGCAGCCCAATTTTCCTTCCGCGCGACATCGGACACTATCATACTCCAGTAGAAAATGGGAGTACAGCAGCCATCCTGAGTTCAGTGATTAACTGCGGAGCTCAAACTCTTCAGCAGCTGCAGCATCAAAGGTACTAGCTTCTTTATCCTCGGTGGTGGAGCGCACCGTGGTGGATAACTGTAAGCGTGTGTTTGTTAGCACCAAACTTGCTCAACTAAAAGCGTGCAGTTGTCATACTGCCAGCACGATGTGTAGTGTAGATGGTCCTGACCAAGTGGGTAAAACGGTTGACGGAACTAACAGAAAGGAAAGCGGCTCAAGCGTGAGAAATTGGAAGGCCTCCCACGATGACCCACAAGAACCCATTTTGGCTTCTTAATCTCCGGTTTTCGAAAAGCAGGATAGTCTAAATAGTGTGTCAGAAAACGGATTAACCCCTTTGGATATCACGCCCGAGGCGACACGCAAAACAAACTTACTGGAGAGGAAGGAACCAAGGGAGTATTCGTGAGTGTGGGTACCAACGGATGTATCGAAAAGACTTAATGGGAAGGCTGACTGACAGGCCGGAATACTTCTAGTTGTGCCAGCTGTGTGAATCGTGTTAATCCTTATCCAGCAACTAGTTCGGCGAAGGCGTTTCAGGACGCGTTTGGCTTTCGCTTGACCAGCGTTCTCCCTATAAACAGCCACAAAGGTCCGCTTGACAACACTGCCACGTGGCGAATATGACGCGCCACTAAACCAAATCACTGCATTAGCGTACCGGATATCTTGCCCATTTCCCGAATGTCAACCAAATAAATGGTTTAAGCAGAGTCCCCCTAACTTGGCACCTTCACCGTACAAACTCACAAATTTGCATCAACCCCAAAAACTTCACAACATACGATCACGGACACATGCATCCAAATAAATACTACACATACGTACACATATATATCCGGGACGTACTGGTTAATTCGGAACATTCCTGTACGTTTACTGATGTTACGCTTTTGTTTCAGCAGGTTGCTTCAAATAAAATCTTGGCTCGCAGGTCGGGGAAAAGCATTTAATTATTTCTTTAAGCTGTAAGCTTGCTGACGTATTCGCGGTCACCGAAATCTGGCTTTCCGATAGTTATGCAGGCAGCGAATTACTGTCTGATATTCCCGAGTATAGATTGGACGGGCCTGGAAATCAGGTAGGTGGAGGTTTGCTTTTGCTTATCAAACGCCACGATGGAACTCGGGAGTCTCGCTTCTGTATGAGGACATCGAATATATAGTTGTCGCTTGCTTCATGAGGTTGGATGGTCAGCTAGAGATGCTTAACTTGGTAAACAGTAGCTTCTCCTCTGCGCCTGTCGTGGACAAGGAGCTTAGCATGTTGCTCAAACAGGCGGCACCGGTTGTTTCCCTCGTTGCGATTATCGACGATTTGAACCTTCCGTATGCAGACTGGGAACATGCCACTGATACTGCAGATACCACGGGAGGGAAACTGGTGGGATGGTTGCAGCTGAACGACTTTATTTAGCGTGTCAAATTCCCGACGCGTAGACGCATTGGCTGCTCGCCTGCAGCCATAGATGTCATAATAACAATGCGTGGCCACTTGTTAGGGGTTTATACAAAAGCTGTCATAAGTAAGTGGGACCCCTGGTTCTCGCAACGTTATTGAATACCAAGCGATTATCGGCAAGTCCTCGACTGGTAAGAACCTTTTGTCGCAACAAACGTAAGCATTTGCGGAATGGAGCTCTACAAACCAACTGGGCTCCTAAACTATCGCAAGTCACATTAGAACAACGAAGGAGCATAAGCAAAAGTGGACTTGTTCAACTACTGGACTAATTTGCTCCACTGCACCACAATAGGCATCGCAATAACCGCTGCTGGTGTCGTCGGCTGAGTGTGCAGGAGATAAAGAAGCACAACGATTTTTAAAAAATTAATGGAACCGGAGTGTTTAAGCGTTGGCCACGATACAAAACATCCTGGCACTTAACAGTCAAAGGCATACAAACTACCGTAATCAGGTAAAGCTGGTGCAGAAGGCGAAAACAAATCCGAAGGTATATTATAGTTATGCTTAATCGATGGTTTGCTTGAGAAATGGAGTAGGTAGCTTAATCATAGAGGACTATTGGCAACCTATAAATGATACGGGGTAGAAACAAGTGTTGTTGCTTGCCTCTCGAACGGTATGTCGTATTGATAGCGGCTGCCCCATCACCTCACAAATTCATCACCAAGTTGAGTGTATAATATCCAAATTCCCAGTAAGTTCAACCGAGGTCCTCGAAGCCTTGTCATACTTCTACCCCTACAAACCGGCTGGCCCTGACAGTAAAGTTTTATTCTCGACCACTCGAGACACACCTTTACAGGCATGATCCTATGCACCTAACGGTTCAACCGAAATGTGCAAAAATTCATAAGCTTCGCCATAAAAGTGTATGTTTGTGTAGGGGTGTGCATACTTATGTAATAGTGTGTGCAGCTGTGTATTTTTTGCTTGTGTGTTGCTCCCGGCTTGACTCTGCTATCATCGGAACTGTACGAGTAAGTGCTTACTGTCCGTGGATTTGAAAGGAGTAGCGGGATGTTAACGGACAATGAGCTTAATTTGTGGCGAGGCACGACCGTCAGGTCACGGTGTTGGTAGGCAGGTATGTGTGGCTTTTATTGGGAGTACGCTCGCCAGGCCAAAACGCACGACCTCCTGGAGCGGTGCCACCGAACTATTTGCTGGAAAGGGTTAAATTCAAACCACCTAAGTTACACCACAACGTGGTTTCAGCAAGCATCATCAAGCCGCTTGTTACTGTACTCCAGTATCCTGTTTTGGATTTGTACAACACGTCAATTCAGGATAGTAGGCTGCCGCGAAGGAAACGAGGCAGCTATTGTACCACTACACAAAACATGATTTTAAATCAGCGTCTGCTCACCATAGGCCAGTTAGCCCTAATAGCGTCCCGCTCAAAGGCTTAGAAAAGCTTGTCAGGAACCAGATTTGGGGGCACTTAGCTTCCTAAAACTAGATAAGACCGCAGCAACACGGCCTCGTCAAGCGGAAGTCAAGCATTAACAAACCTCTGCCCTTTTTAGCTAAGATAACCTGCTGTCTTGATGAGGGTCACTCAGTCGATGCTTGCTACTTATACGTCAGTAAGTCGTTTGACTCCGTCAACCAAAGTTTCACACTTGAACGGTTGACACGGTTAGGGATACATACACAGGGCTCTGGTCTAGGCCCGCTCTTGTTCTTTTTATATACCGATGAGTAGGCGCTGCTCCCCTAGAACCCCGGGTATGTCATTTTAGACAATACAAAACGGCAGCTACTACTCAAGGACAATGCGCTAGAATCCTAAGAAGCCTGGGATTTTTCACTATGGAGCGGCGGAGAGTATGAGGTGACCTGCTAGAAACGTTCAAGACAATGAAGACCCTCGGCGAAAATAAGCCTTCAAACTTCTGTGGACTTCCTAAGTCGGATAACAAACGGAGTCATGAAATGAATATTAAACCTCAGGGGTCCAGACTGGAGCTAAGAGCCAAGTTCTTTATAAATCGTTTCGTTCATAATTGAAACAAATACGCTTCTGCCTTAATTGTAGGTGCCCCTGCTAACAGTTTTATAAAACGTCTGGCTATGCGTTGGCCATTTGCATAGACCTTGCGGTCCATAAGCCAGAGCAGCACAGTTCCTCTTGTCTGCTGCATTCCTTTCGAAGAAGCACGGCTGACGATCCAGAAGTCGAAGTACGGAGCCCTTGGTTTGCCTTTCGTTACAAAAAACCGGAGTTTCGTCAGGCGGTGATTAATTTTGTCCTTGGAAAATGACTTAACCCGACACTCACCGCGTTAGATGCTTTTATCTAAATGTGTTAGTAGTGTCCATACACACTGACTCTTCCCATAAAAAATAATAGAAAACGTTTAAAAAGCTTTCGCAGTATATTCACCAGTTTTATTATACTGTTGCGCCATAGCATATTTAGTTGTATTTTACTAGTTTAAATAGGCTTATGCACAGGATTCATTGGACTCGTAGGCCACTCGTTATAGCGGGTATTTCAGAAAAGTTATGTGATCACTGCAGTTTTACGCCTTAACTAACTGTGATTGTGCTACATCTTTTGTAAAAAGAGCGCATATCATAAATTTATACCCAGCTGGTCTTATACGGAGTGTCAACGTACCGAAGACCACCTTATCCCTTAACTTCCTACTGCAGTGAAAACTGGCTGGAATTAACGTGGAATACTTGCGTCTTCACATACTCAGACATATTTGATAAATGCATGTGTATTATTCAAAGCAGTTTTTCGACAAAATCTAATGTCGATGAGCTTTACTATGCGCCAGAATCGACCACCTTGGACTTACGAAAGAATGAGAACCGTTACTTCTCAGTAAAAATTGACCAAAGGGTTCCGGGCGGCTTATAGTACTCAACTACAATAGTCAGCTTTTTGATTAATTGCCATCCAGGTCTCAATGAAAGTCACCGTTTGCTTCGGAACAATCAAAGTTGTAGTTCCATGTGGACAAGGTAATATGCTGATTAGAGACTTGGCAAACATGGCTGTGATGAGGTATCAAAAGTCGGTAGCACAGGTTAGTACATCGGTAAGGTAGTTATTTCTTCTAGAACATTTTATATATACAAATGACCTCTATGCCGAATTGTTAATAGGTTTAATTTTGACTAGAGTATACATAATGATTTTACCCTGTAGGTTACAACAGCGAACAGGACGTTTGGCTATAAGCAGCTTTTTAACCTTTTCTATTCCATAATTGATTATTTTTTATCAGGACTTGACTTGGTGACCTTTATTGTTGCATTGCGACTCCATCCCTATCAGCATTCTGGTATTTTACGTTCTGGTACAAATAACCCAACGTCTGCAGATAGCTACATGCCGAATTTTTGAAGTGTGTAACCGAAACCCTTAGCTATCTTATGAGCATTCTTAATTTATGCTTTATAGGCAGGATAATTTAAGAGAAGTATATATAACTCGTAAATGTCACTTTGCTTTTACGAGGAAATCATATGGCACACTGTATCCGGCGGACAACTAAGGATTTTCATTTGCTTATCTGCCGATTGCTATTAAAGTATGGTTATATTTGTTTAACCCGAATGCCGGCTCACTACCATAAGGGATAACGTTGCTTATGACCGAATATTATGGCTTGCAAAGGATGTTATTCCAGCGTTGCCGTTAACATCAACGTTACCAGTGCCGCATTAATACTATGCAGATATATAACATTTAACCAGTTAGGTTTAAGAGGTTTCATTTTCGATGTTAAAGAATTTAGTGCAGCTTAGCACAAGCAGCCGCTTACGTCTGACGTGTTCTTAAATCATAAAGCACGACTTAGCTTTCTGCCAATAGAGAAGTTACTAAGGAACACAGAGGTATTACCAATTGGTTTACTGCTAAGCAGTAAACTGTGTTGGACAAACACTACATAGTTTTTTGTATTAGCATATGTTCGTTTTTGCTATGTATAACATTGTTCTCGCCCAGTATTGACGGTACTTCTCATAAAATTTGTCGTGTCTTAAATAGAACCCACTCAGTGAACTAAGTAGTTCAGTTGCCCAAGAATAATCAAGCGACCTTAAAAGTTATATTACGGGCAAAAGTTATGTTTTAAATATCAAAGACGCTGTATAACGATTAATGTGGGTCACAATATTGGTGTTTCTCATTCAGACCATGTTGTTAAAAACGCAATAGAACACTAGCTTTTGCTACAGAAACTAGGAAAATGAGGTACCTCACTAACAAATTAAAGGGCTTTAGCTAATTAGACGGTGGCTATAGGTTTTTGATAAGTAATGCAGCAAACTATTAGCCATCATATGCAGTTTTGTTTCAGCAGAGCGCAGCTTGTAGGCAAAATATATTCTGCGTTTTCGCGATGAGCTGCACACATTTTAAGAAGCTTTTATCCTTAAATATACAAATAAGTTAGAAATGTGCATTTGGTACCCTTCCTCGCATTGTCTTTGCTTATTTATGATTTAGTTGCCAACAAATAATGCTTTAATGTATGTGGAATTTCAACTTATCTTGTTTCATCATGCTATATGTGCTTAACCGCATGAAACCACCAAATGTTCGCTACGTTTGCCGCTGGTCACCGTCATTAGTCAAACATCAGCAAGTTAAACTGATGTCTTGTTGCCGTACGACAACAATGACTTAAGGCATAATTATAATAAGTGCGTAGAGTGACCTTACGTATAACTTAAACGCTGTGAGCAAAATTTTAGGGTCAGGGCACCTACAATGTTTTGACAACACCCTGTCACCAACAGATGGATATTGTGCAAAGATAAAGCGGTATCAGAAAGTTAGCTAATTTGCGCATTTGTTTGCAGCGCAATATTTGGTCAGTAGGTCGGATAATGTGACAGTTAGCACCCCTTAAACCTTCAATGTGATTTGTAAACAATAGCCAAGACAGACAGAGAGAGAAGCATATAGACAGTACACCTGTATGCCATACCGGAGCTTTGCTGCAAGCAACCACCACGCATGGCGCCTAGGCTGACTTTGCTGTTGGAGGCTTGAAGCAGTGACTTCTGGTTTGCAAGGCAGATTCCTTGTACTTTCAGCCGCCGATTAGTGACGATGGGAAACGTGTTCGTGATTTCGACTAAGAGCCACCTCCTGTAACGTCTCTGGCAAGCCATAAAATATGTTGCGTGGACACTAGCTTAGAAAAGGTGGTAAAGTAATATTACTTTGTTAGTTACATAACCCAATTTCTCACTGCTAGGTTGCTTGTTTATCACTACTAGTCTTACGATGTTGTAAATTTTGCAAGCAAAACAAGGTCCTTCTCGGTAAGCGGGGACCAGGTATAAGCGGCGCGTGCTGAAGCTAAGGTAACTTGTTCAGTGAAAACTTTTGTTTTAAGGAAACAGCTTGGTTGTTACTGCCTAACATTCCCCTACGCAAATTATCGTGGTGGACTCAATAATGCTTTACTACTTCATCTACACTCCGCGGGTATCGATGAGCAGAATTTGAAACAATGCAAGGTCCTCAGACCGAAGGAGAAAGGTTCATTGTCTATAGCGTATGCCGGTTTACACTGTAGCCTTATACACAAGACCTGTTAAGCTAAGCTAAGCATTTTTGTAAAGACGTAAATTTCACATGTTTAGAAATAAATTGCTCGCTTTTGCGATACACAATGAATTTTAGCGGTTACGCGCGGCTAATACTGTCTTAAAGGAAAGTGTGTAGATCCTTTATGAAAAGTTTATTGTTATCAAGATTAAAAACTAACTAGTGACTGACGATTTTGCAGAAGCGGCTTCACTGCAAACATGCACAGCGAACCTGGAACGATGAAATCAACATAGGGAGTCTAATCACGGTTGCATGATTTACCTCAATACACTCAACAAAAGAACAAATATCCTAGCCAAAATAAGACTCGACTGGCTTTCTAGCGGACAAGCTTTGACATCCACAAACTGAGATGCTTTAAGACAGTCCTTGACAAATTTGAACGAAAATAGGAAATATAAACAACCCCGACGAACACCTCCTGCTGTCGGAAAAACGTCCGACAAGTCACTGTAAGCACCGATGTGAGCAGTTTTATTTGAAGACATCTTTTCTTGCAAGTATGTTAAACGAAGTGAATCAAATAAGCGAACAAACTACATGTTCCCAGTCCAACAACGCTGGTGTTGTCGGCCTGTGTTACATGTGACTGCTCTAAAGCTGTTGTAGTAATTATTTATGGCATGTGCAACCTTGATCTCGCAAACATCTGCCTGCCTTTTTTGTTTCGAAACTCCAGATCTCCAGTGAAACGGCGAACATAAACAATATTCAGTCTTTTCTGTTTACGGTTGGAAAATTATGTGCGACCGTTCCTCATCTGCACTTCCACTACGGTTGGTCCATTGCACATAATTGGGACTGTATATTCACTTCAGGGCTTTGCAAACTTAATTGCCATTTTAACAGCATACTGATGGTGATTTTAGATCGCGGTTTAACATTTACTTTTTGATAAATTCTCTAAACTAAGCGGCCATGGTTTAGCCTGCCACGCCTAAACAGAAGGTGGTCCTGGGACGGCTGTACTACATACAACTAGCCGGAAGACGTTCATTAGTATAACTTAAGATATTTGACTCGCCTTTAATGTTTTATTGAAGTATGTACTTCTATGCTAAGTAATACGCATCGGTGTAAAGTAATGACGTGGATTGCTCACTGCCACGATTTTTCTTGTTAAGGTCATGCTAGCTAACTAGACTTGCTTATGTGAACGGGAACTCCGATTTCGTCCGTGCCAGTTTAGCTTGTCTGTATGCTTTATTTTCAGAGCTAGAAGAATGCGTCCTTCTTACTACCAACTGGTTCATTTAACACTGAACCGTTGCCAAAGAGAGGAGAGGTCTACTGTGCAAACGAAAGGTTCTCCGCTGGGCTCAGCACTGGTTCGTGTGATCTAGCCGTCTCAGTTACTCGTATGCGACCGATATTAGCTGTGTGGCAACAAAGCATCGGCGCAGTGACCATTCACTTAAGGTTCCGTACCAAGCACCATCACAAATATCGTCTGGTGCACAAAAGGTACTAAAATAAAGGACTATCCTTTGAGAATGCCGTTTCTTCAATTAGTCCTTTGTCCTGTGTGTATAGAGTTTATTTACCAATTCGATAAAGCCGCCGTTAAATAACAGGAAAGGGTTTGCCAAAGCAAACGTTGTTGCTTTTTCCAACTTATGGTAACGAAAACAACTTGCCATTAACACCCAAATCTTGGGGAATTCTAAACACTAATTATTCCTTAGCATATTTGCAGTACATATTTCTTCGTGTATGCGGCCACATAAATGTAGTGCGCGTAGGTTTCCGATGTGGCGCTCTCTCCTCCCTGCACTCCACGACCGACGGTTTCGTTCTGGTTTGGACTCTTCAGGTGGAGGTAACCGAGATGGGAGTAGAACTCGGCGCATAGTGTTTGGCAGCTATCGCTATGATCATTAGGTCATTCAGTTCCGGTATAACTGCGAACCGTAATGCTAGCAGCTGGCTGTACTCTGTTCAACTGATGTGACGTGCATTCTATCCCTTGAAATATTTTAAACTAGTGCACTTTGATAGGAAAATATAATAAATCATTTATTGTTTCAGACTTAGGCAAAAAATAGTAGACCTTTTACTTCTTCATGCATTTCCGTCGATGTCCAAGCATAACTGCAGATACTACGGTAGAATATCTATCTGCAGAAGTCCGCTAAAGCACATTTTAGAAGCCTCATGTCCATCGCCAGGATCGCTTTTAATCTAGATTGTGCGATCCACAAACACCTAACTAGCTTCATAACTGTTGCAAGCCGTGTTTTTTCCTAGTTCTACGATCAAGAGAAGGAACTCACACGGGCTGCTAAAGGGTGAAAACGTTAAATAAATAAATACTAACTTAGAGAACGTTTGCATAAATATATGTGTTCAGTGATGATGTTTACTTGCGCATATCAACGTGTTTTGTATATAAATTAAAAGAAGTAGTTTACCTTAATACTGTTTCAGTATATGTCGTGAAACTCCTTGGCTTTA